GAGACCCCCAGGTACCGAGGAGAGACCCCCAAGTACCGGGGTGAGACCCCCAGGTACCCGGGAGAGACCCCCAGGTGTGGGGGAGAGACCCCTGGGCACTGGGGTGAGACCCCCAAGTACCCGGGAGAGACCCCCAAGTACCCGGGAGAGACCCCCAGGTACCGGGGTGAGACCCCCAAGTACCGGGGAGAGACCCCCAAGTACCGGGGAGAGACCTCCAGGTGTGGGGGTGAGACCCCCAAGTACCGGGGTGAGACCCCCAGGTACCGAGGTGAGACCCCCAAGTACCCGGGAGAGACCCCCAGGTGTGGGGGTGAGACCCCCAGGTACCGGGGTGAGACCCCCTGGTGTGGGGGATAGAGGGGGAGAGGGGGGAGGCGAGTGTGCAATAGGATCTGAGTGTGCAAAGAGATCTCGGTGTGTAACGGGATCCGAGTGTGCAATGGGATCCAGGTGTGCCGCAGGATCCAGGTGTGCAACGGGATCCAGGTGTGCAAAGAGATCTCAGTGTGCAACGGGATCTCAGTGTGCAAAGCGATCTCGGTGTGCAAGGGGATCTCAGTGTGCAACAGGGTCCGAGTGTGCAAGGGGACCTGGACATGGGAATGTGATGGGATCCGAGTGTGCAAGGGGATCCAGGTGTGCAACGGGATCCAGATACGGGACTGCAATGGGATCTGAGTGTGCAACGGGATCCGAGTGTGCAACAGGACCTGGACATGGGAATGTGATGGGATCTGAGTGTGCAAGGGGATCCAGGTGTGACGGGATCCAGGTGTGCAAGGGGATCCAGACATGGGAATGTGACGGGATCCAGGTGTGCAAAGGGATCCAGGTGTGCCACACGATCCAAGTGTGCCACAGGATCCAGGTGTGCCCCAGGATCCAGGTGTACAAAGGGATCCAGGTGTTCCATGGGATCCAAGCGTGCCACAGGATCCGAGTGTGCAAGGGGATCCGGACACGGGAATGTGGTGGGATCCAGGTGTGCAAAGAGATCCAGGTGTGGAAAGGGATCCAGGTGTTCCACAGGATCCGAGTGTGCAAGGGGATCCGGACACGGGAATGTGATGGGATCCGAGTGTGCCACGGGATCTGAGTGTGCCACGGGATCCGAGTGTGCAAGGCGATCCAGATGTGGGGCTGCAATGGGATCTGAGTGTGCAAGGGGATCCAAGTGTGCCACAGGATCCGAGTGTGCAAAGGGATCTGGACATGGGAATGTGACGGGATCCAGGTGTGCAAAGGGATCCGAGTGTGCAAGGGGATCCGGACATGGGAATGTGACGGGATCCAGGTGTGCAAAGGGATCCAGGTGTGCCACAAGATCTGAGTGTGCAAAGGGATCTGGACATGGGAATGTGATGGGATCCGAGTGTGCCACGGGATCCGAGTGTGCAAGGGGATCCAGATGTGGGGATTCAATGGGACCTGGACATGGGAATGTGATGGGATCCGAGTGTGCAAAGGAATCCAGGTGTGCAAGGGGATTTCGGTGTCCAATGGGATCCCGGTGTGCAAGGGGATCTAGACACAGAAATGCGATGGGATCCGAGTGTGCAATGGGATCCGAGTGTGCAAGGGGATCTGGACATGGGAATGTGGTGGGATCTGAGTGTGCAACGGGATCCGAGTGTGCAACGGGATCCGGGTGTGCCACAGGATCCGGGTGTGCAAGGAGATCTGGACATGGGAATGTGACGGGATCCAGGTGTGCAAGGGGATCCAGACATGGGAATGTGACGGGATCCAGGTGTGCAAGGCGATCCGAGTGTGGCACGGGACCTGGAGATGGGAATGTGGTGGGATCCAGGTGTGCAAAGGGATCCGGGTGTTCCACGGGATCTGAGTGTGCCACGAGATCCGAGTGTGCAAGGAGATCTGGACATGGGAATGTGACGGGATCCAGGTGTGCAAAGGGATCCAGGTGTGCCACAAGATCCGAGTGTGCAAAGGGATCCGGACACGGGAATGTGATGGGATCCGAGTGTGCCACGGGATCCGAGTGTGCAAGGGGATCCAGATGTGGGGATTCAATGGGACCTGGACATGGGAATGTGATGGGATCCGAGTGTGCAAAGGAATCCAGGCGTGCAAGGGGATCTCGGTGTCCAATGGGATCCCGGTGTGCAAGGGGATCTAGACACAGAAATGCGATGGGATCCGAGTGTGCAAGGGGATCTGGACATTGGAATGTGGTGGGATCCGAGTGTGCAACGGGATCCGAGTGTGCAACGGGATCTGGGTGTGCCACAGGATCCGAGTGTGCCACAGGATCCAGGTGTGCAACAGGATCTGGACATGGGAA